ATCTATCTATCTATCTATCTATCTATCTATCTATCTATCTATCTATCAGGTTACTATGGCGACAGTATGAATGACATCATCGTGTTTTCCTCCTGTTACCTGCCAGAGAACACCATAGAGAATTACCAGTATGTGATGGATAACCTGTTCAGGTAAAACCATCACACTCACTGGTTCTGCTGTCTTTGTGAGGACCTTCACGGGTGTAACACGTCACCAAATTTCTGAACCATTTCAGTCCAGTACAGAACCAGTAACCCCGAGCTAATTTCAACGCAGATCAGATTAAATGATGTTGTTCAGATGAGCATCTGAAGCTAAAACAAACAGCTGATTGTTTCAGTTTATGAGTCCACCGCCCTTCTTTCTTCTGTCAGGTTCATTATTGGGACTCTGGAGCTGATGGTAGCAGAGAATTATGTGATCGTGTATCTTTGTGCCGGAGGACAGAAGGACAAACTTCCTGGAATCAGCTGGCTGAAGGACTGCTACACCACCATCGACAGGAGGTCAGAAAACCACAGCAGCGCTGAAAGTATCAATTAAAAATGATGAATAAGAACGAAATATATCAAACTGTCTTTGCTATTGTTAGGAAATGCTGATTATTAGTTACAATACCCAACTCCTTATTTAGGATTTATATCATTTTTGGTCTTTTCATTTTTATTAAAAGAAAACGATTTAAAGAAACATATCTGATATATCAACATTCAGGGGTTTAACAAACGTCCAGAGTTGTGTAAATTTCCAATTAAAAGACTAATTTCTGGTCCTTTTCTCACTAAATAAAATACGTCCTGAGCTGCAAACGTTCTTAAAGCTTCAATAAAAATGAGACAACTTATTAAGTGCCATGTAAATAATACATGCAAAATTTGTCATATTATGAAATAAAAGATCAATAATAGACTGTTGTTTGTATTTTACATGTTAGAACAGTCAGAAAAATACATTTTATTACATATTTTTAAAAAATATAAAAGAAGATCTATTCTATTCTGGTTATAAATGTAAATTTTGCTCATTTCCATGTTCCTTTTGGTCAAAGCTCCAATGAGCCACATGTGGCCCGAGAGCCGCAGCTTGCAGATCCCTCGCCTCATCTTTCGGCTGTTGTGTTGTTTTAGATAGATTCCAGTAGAGGGAGTGAAGTATTTACTGTAAGAATAATAACGTTCACCTCTGACAGTTTAGATAAAGAGCAGTCTGGTGAAATCAACTCAAATCTGGTATATCAATGCTCGGTGTGAATCAAACTGTTTAATCCATTTTTAGTTAATTTATCTGAAACTGGATATTTGGAGAGGTTTATTTTTGTCTCTCTGGTTGAGTCAGATCTGCAAATATTTTCATTTTTCTGTCCGTTTCTTTCTCTGAATGGCTGAAATTTTGTTTTTTAAATAAGAATTAAGGTTTAAAAGTGTGAATCAGCCACAGTTTGGTTGATTTTTACGGATGGAGATTAATTAAAAAATGACAGATATTTCATCCTTTGGTTGCTTTTCGTGCAGGTTGAGGAAGAACCTGAAGGGTTTCTTCGTGGTTCATCCCACCTGGTACATCAAAGTTCTGGTGACCATCATCAAACCCTTCATCAGGTCTGGCACATTTTCTTCTTCACTTGTGCAAAACAAACAGAAACACGTTAACTTTTAACCTAATATAAACTAAAAAAAACAACTGTTATCCCTCCTCCTCCTCCTCAGCTCTAAGTTCAGCAGGAAGCTCCAGTTTGTCCGCAGCCTTCAGGAGCTTTCTCGCCTCATCCCTACTGAGCACGTGCAGATCCCTGATTGTGTCACACAGTGAGACATCACCCATTCAAAACCAAACACTGTAAAAACAGAATTTAAGGCCATTATCCTAATAATGATGGCTTTGACTTCCCCACAGGTACGACCAGAACCAGACCAGGTGAAGTTCAGGTGATGCTCTGAACACTGGCAATATATTTACCTGAACAGCTGCAGGTCCACCTCCCAAAGCAGGAGGTGCAACATCCTCGAGGACACGCTGAGTCCGCGGCAGCATCAGGCGGAGATGAAGAACAAGTGTTCTTTAGAGTTTTTATCGTGGAAGCAGTGTTGGTGGCCACTTTGGTCCCAGATATTTAAGTTTAAAGACAAATGAACTTGGTATTACGTATTTTAAAAGAAAGAAGAAAAACATGGCACAATGTAAACTTAATTTAAACTTTAGTTTATTTTTACAGTTTTTAAAAAAAACCTACTTTGTCAACTCATTTTTAGGAACGTCTCAGGAAAGACACTGACATAAAACACAAATTATAATAATTGTTAAAGTAGATTTTTTTATGCTACACAAGTCAGACGAGTCATGAACTTATTTTGAAAAGTACTCATCTGACTTACACTTCATACACAGTCTCTCTTGCCCAAACCATTTTAAATCAATGAGAACATAAATCTTTTAAAATGTCAAAAATATTTTAATAATATTGCACATTTTTAAAGGTTGCTGCGACCCCATGAAGGTTTTAAACCTTTATTTTCAGCACATATTCCTACGTGAGCAAGTGCTTGTCTATATTTTTCTGCTGAATAAAATTTAAGAGATTTGATCATTTGATGTTTCAATCTGAAGCTTTTTTCCAAACAATTTCTTCCAATTTTGTTGAGTTTTCTATTAAAACTGACAAATATCAACTTCCCGAGTGCCAAAGTGTGTGTGAGAGTGACAAAACTAACGCATGTATAGTTAAAGTAAAAGTCTTTGTTTAATAAATGGCTGGAAAATTAACCAATCACAGTGTTGATGTAGAATGGGCGGGGCCAAAACACGTGGCTCTCTCAGCCTTCAGGAAGGCCTTGCAGATGTTTTTTAATAATTATGTTTTGACCACGTGAAGATTTTATGATGCATTCAAGTGCAAACTGTAAATTCAAAATTCACACTGAAATTGTAGTTTCTTGAAAAAAAAAAAAAAAGTTAAATATCTCATGCAGATTTGTATTTTTTTTTATATTACAGTTTTATTTTGGTTTTACAGTATTAGTCCCTCGTTTATCGTGGGGGATCCGTACTCTAAAGACCCACGATACGTGAAAAACCGTGAAGTAGGAATAGTAGTACAAGTAGTAAGTAGTAGTTTATTTCATTATATATATATATATATATATATATATATATATATATATATATATATATTCCTCTTTTAGAGAATTTAGAGTTTAGAAACATTGAAAGAGCACAGAATGTCATGATTTCAGCTCCCTGCCTCCTCTGCTCTTTGCCATATCTTGGTCAAGCCCACTTCGCTGCTTTGCTGGACAATATGCAGCAAGTGCTAAATAATACAAAATAATTTATTTTTTAAATAATAATTCCATGCCAATCATGCGGCTCATCCATCATTCAGCCAATTGTGTGTCATGTCCAATCTTATTTTGAAAAACCCCGATAAAGCGAATCTGCGATAAACGAACTGCGAAGTAGCGAGGGACTACTGTATTACATGTTGAAATTTTACAGCAACAGTAGTTTCTTTGGTTAGCGTTAAATGTCAGTGTGAATTACAGGTCCTTCTAAAAAAAATAGCATATTGTGATAAAGGTCATTATTTTCCATAATGTAATGATAAAAATGAAACTTTCATGTATTTCAGATTCATTGCACACCAACTGAAATATTTCAAGTCTTTAATTGTTTTAATACTGATGATTATGGCATACAGCTCATGAAAACCCAAAATGCATGTCCCAAAAAATTAGCATATCATGAAAAGGTTCTCTAAACAAGCTATTAACCGAACCATCTGAATCAACGACGTAACTCTAAACACCTGCAAAAGATTCCTGAGGCTTTTAAAAACTCCCAGCCTTGTTCATTACTCAAATCCGCAATCATGGGTAAGACTGCCGACCTGACTGCTGTCCAGAAGGCCATCATTGACACCCTCAAGCAAGAGGGTAAGACACAGAAAGAAATTGCTGAACGAATAGGCTGTTCCCAGAGTGCTGTATCAAGGCACCTCAGTGGGAAGTCTGTGGGAAGGGAAAAGTGTGGCAGAAAATGCTGCACAACGAGAAGAGGTGACCGGACCCTGAGGAGGATTGTGGAGAAGGGCCGATTCCAGACCTTGGGGGACCTGCGGAAGCAGTGGACTGAGTCTGGAGTAGAAACATCCTGAGCCACCGTGCACAGGCGTGTGCAGGAAATGGGCTACAGGTGCCGCATCCCCCAGGTCAAGCCACTTTTGAACCAGAAACAGCGGCAGAAGCGCCTGACCTGGGCTACAGAGAAGCAGCACTGGACTGTTGTTCTGTCTCTGTTTTGCATCATATTTTATTTTGAAAGGGCTTCAAAGCAGAAACAATGGTTGTGAGGAGCTCGGCTTCACTTTCAGAATATGACGGGGGTTGAGGGAAATAAAAATAAAAAAACTGAATAATAGCAAAAAAAAATTCAAAGAATGTTTTTGCATAAAATGCTTATTCCTATTTGTTACTGCACTACACGATCATAAAAACCTGGACTATGCCTTTAACAGTTGATTTTCTTCAGGAACTCTAGCTCAAACTGTTGTTTGACCCCACTGGGTCAGAACCAGTCCGTTCTCTGACTCAGCCGACCTCGTTCCGCTCAGGCTTCACACTCAGGAATTTCCACAGTGATGGAAAGTATGTAAAAAATGTTTGTTAACGTTTGAGAGTTTGATCTTTTCTGAAAAAGATTAACTAAACTAAAACATCCATAAAAAGTATCTGTTTCATTTTTCATCGTTCCTTATTGACTTCCTGTTTGTCTGAATGAATTTATTTCAATTTGTAGCTGTTTTTTTTTACACCTAAGTAGAATTTAGAGCTTATTCTATTTTATTCTCAAAAAGCTTTAAATAATCATAATTTCCAACGTACTGCGTCTCAGCATATTGATTTTACTACGATTCATTCAGTGAGCGTTAACTGATCTGATTAAAAACACCGGAGCGAGCTGCGTGACCACCTTCAGTGTTTGTGCAAGGCTAGGAACGCTGAGGTCATTTATAAAGAACAGGAAAACCTATTACTGTGCGAGGGTGTCCGCTTTCAGCAAATGTTCACAATCAATACAAAGACAACTGAGGTTTCTGTAAAGTCATAAACTGGTGGAAACTGGTCACTGGTTTAAAACGAGGTTGGAGTTAGGTTACAGAGATGTTAAAATCACGGTGAGTGATGTTAATGTCCTCTTACACAGCGTGTGTGTGTCTGAAGTCAGGATATGTTTGACAGGAAGGAAGTGAGGTAGCTGCTGAGGAAACGCCACAAACAGGAACACAAAGCAGAGCGTGTGTGAGCCTCGGTCCAGTTCAGCTGGTTCTGCTGCTGGTTTTCACATTCACGAAAACCTAAACACACAAAGAAACTGCTATTGTTGTTTATTTACTGGTTTTGTTCGTCTTTTCCCAGGGGTTCTGTGTCTGCAGAGCACAGAAGAGGAACCTGAAAATGGAGAACAAATTATAGTTACAGTAGATGTGCTGTAGTGCCACTAATGGTGCTCATATAATCACAGCTTTTTTGCCTCACTTACACACCAATAATTAGTAGGGAGGGTTTGGTGCCCAAAGCAGAACTGGAGTTCAACCCCCCCAGTGTTGGAGCTAGAATCAAGTCTCTCCTTTCTGTCTACCTTTTAACTTTGTTTTTGTGTTTTATGTGTTTCTGTCATGACTGTTTTGTGTTTCCTGCTTTGGTCTCCATCACCCGCTGCTAATGATGTGCACAGACGAGTAACGATTTCACCTTTGTCCACGTCCGTTTGTATGTACTGTTAGCAAAATACCTCATACACCACTGAATTAATTTTATTGAAACCTTCAGCTTGTGGAGTCAGTCCAATTCAAGGTGATCGCAACAGTAAATCACCATTAAACATTAAAGTAGAGTAAAGTGCTATGTGTTGTCGTCATGTTCCCATACAATGGCAAAATTAGTTCTCTGCATTTAACCCATCGCACCTGGGATGCACCCAGCTATAGGCACCCGGGGAGCAACTAGGGATTAGTTGTCTAACGTGATATGTGGGAATGGCTGGGGATTGAACCTGGGACTTTCAGGTCCTAAGTCCGCTGCCCTACCTCTACCCCAGAGTGGTAGTAGCTGAAAGTCATTCACAACACGTATTCTGAGTGGGACATCTTGAGATATCAAGTGAGATCATGCATAAGGTTATTTGTAAGGTTTGACCAAAATGGCTACACCTTTATCATTGCGTTAAACTTACCAGTTACATACCAGTTACATACCTGGTTCTTGCCTGAAATGCACCACTTATGTACCTTGTACCTATGAGGACTGGGTTGTACTTGTTACCCTGTACTCACAAGCAATGTCCCTCGTCCATACATGGTACTTACCAGATATGTTCCTAGTGCATACTCATTACTTACATGGTATTTACAAGATACATATCTGGTACTTTGTGGGGACTGGGCTGTATAATTAAAAATTCTTGTTATCCTTTCATTACTGGTTGCATATTACTACAGTTAATTGCTACTAGATGAATTAAAAGTAGAATCTAACAATGTTTTAGATGTTCTGCTGGGGGACCTTGGGTTCTGCCTTTCAAGCAGATGTTTTGACACGTACCACATACCAAACCATTGTAACCTACAAAGTACATGAATTCCTCGATGGCAGTGGAGACTTTCAGCAGGATAGTTCACCCTCAAACACAACAAAAAGATCAAAATCGTTTAAGGAATGCTCCACAACTTTCACATTCAGCAAACGAAGCTGACAATACTTAAAACTCATAAAACAAAAGTACTGTCAACACTATGCCTGATAGTAATTTGTCAGAGTAATCAAAATCCTTCACACAACAATCCTCACTGTTTATTAAGTATATACATGACTGTGGTGGGGTGGAAGGTTTATTTCGCTGATAATGATGTTGTCCATGGTGTAGCTCAACAAAAAATTTCAATTAAAGAACATGTAAGAACACGAAAGTGCCGCAGAAATGTGAAGAACTTACCTGTTGATGACTACAAGCCTCTCCATAACCATTTCATGATCAGACAAGTAAACTTCACTCAAGGTTTCTTTGGTGGAAACGGTTTTAATAAAAATAAGATCCATAATGGAACCATCGTCCGATGACATCTTCTGTCCTAACATATGTGGAGTTACACCGTGGACAACTTA